CAAATATGTTTTTATAATTCTGTGAAACTCTCTATAATCAATAAAGCCCTCACTCCATCAATAACCTCGGTGCTTTTCAATCCAGCCAATTTGTTTTTTCTCTTCAGGAGATAGTGAAGTGAATGGGTAAGGAGGTTTAATTAGGAATATATTGGTGTACTCTAGAGTGGCTATAGCAAACTCCTTTACTATAAATTTATTTTTGTTATTTTTGAAGCCTTGAAGATTGACGATTATTGTATTGCTATTTATGATATTTTCTTAACGATATTACTCAGTGGTTTGTATTCGAATATACAGTCGTTTAATATCAAGCAATAAGCGGCTGATATAGTTCATTAGATAGATATAGAATATAATATAATATAATATAATATAATAGAGTAGATTTAGAATTTCTTTATTTTATTATTTTATTTACGGTTTATTATTTAGATTTTCGATTTTATCTAAATTTGAATTTAAATGTTTTTAGTTTTATTTCTATTTTAATTGAAAGCAACAACACATAGTTAAGTAACACTGATTAAACTATTAAACTCAGTTTATTATAATAAAATATAGTTCAGATTTAGAATTTCTTTATTTTATTATTTTATTCATGGTTTATTATTTCGATTTTCGATTTTATCTGAATTTGAATTTAAATGTTCTACTTTTTATCAACAACACATAGATAAGTAACACTGATTAAACTATTAACCTAACCCTTAGTTGGATACAAAACTGGACGAACGTTGTGATAATCTTCTTTGATAATAATAATAATAATAATAATTTCTTTATTTGCTTAGAAACATAGTATTATAAGCTGATACAAGTTTGACAGAGCGCATATGTTTCGCCATAATGAAAATAGCATGCAAATAACACATTGAGTTTAAAAATATTATAATGAGATTACATGTCAATTCATACTATTAATATAATAATTATCACCAAATATGTCACTGTCACACGAATAAAAATTGAATAAAATAAGAATTTATAACTATATTAATCTATGTTAAGTTTTTGGTACAGAGAAATGAATCTATGCTATAAAAGTTATTCTGACTTAGCCATTTGTACAACCTATGTTTAAACATATTGATATTGAGCATTTTAATATCTCTAGGAATCTTGTTATATATTTTGACACCCATACAGAGGCAACTTTTTGCATACTTATCCGACCTTGGAATGTCATTATATATCAATCTGTGAGGATATCTCAATCTAAAATTATTAACTTTGTTAAATAATTCTGTGTTTTTGTGTATAAAAACCGCAACTTCATAAATATAAAGTGATGGTAGTGGCAATAATTCTAGACTTTTATACAGTGGTTTACAGGAAACGTCAGGTAAAACTCCACATATGGCTCTAATGCATTTTTTTTTGAGCTATAAATGCTCTGTTTTTGTCCGTACTGTTGCCCCATAGTAAAATGCCGTAGCGCAATATCGATTCTATGTAGGCGCGATAGGACATAATAGCGGTCTTTTTGTCGGTTACGGTCCTAACACATTTAAGAGCATATACGAACTGATTAATTCTGTTACACAAATGGTCTATATGTATTTTCCAGTTCAAGTTCTCGTCAATAGTTATACCTAAGAATTTCAATTGTTGTACTTTTTTTATCTTTGTCACATTTAGATTAAAATTGTGCTGCTTATGTTTTGATTTATTGAATTGTATATAGTATGATTTATCAAGATTAATATTTAAATTATTTGCTTTAAGCCATTTGATTATTATGTCAATAGTATTATTAATGTCACATTCATGATTATGCAAAGAGACATTGTTTTTAGATTTGTTAGATGTAATAATTATGGATATATCGTCAGCATATAAAGTACATTGATGTTTTGTTACTTCTGTTATGTCATTAATGTAAAGTATGAATAGAATGGGTCCAAGTACGCTTCCTTGTGGGACACCAGTGCTGCATTCTCTATATTCAGACGAAATAGAACTAATTTCATTATTAAATATTTTTTTGAGGACAACTTTTTGTTTACGCCCACTTAGATAAGACGATATCCATAATAATGGGGGTCCTCTGATTCCGAGAGATTCCAGTTTGCTCACAAGAGTTTTATGTGCAACGAAGTCAAATGCCTTTGATAAGTCAATAAAGAGTACAGTAGTAGTGAAGCATGATACCAACGGGGTAACAGCCTTCCACGTTGGAGTTTTCTCACCGACCGCTGATTTAAAGCTGATCAGAGAGTGCTGCCAGCGGGTCGGTTGATGGAATAGCCTCCAGCTCGCGGAAGTTAGAGATGCGCACTTCGATGTAATATTCTCCTCGCTTCGAAGGCTCGCTCCGGTGCATATATCCCGAACCTGTTCGGAATGATAAGTAGCTTTTTAAAATCCTCGCTCGGATAGGTTCAGAATCTTCATCCTGGAAACAATAAAAATACTATTTAAATAAAAGCATACTGATAAGCAATGAACAATATTTATATTCCCTCCTACCCCGCATAAATGTATTTTTATACGATGCTCATAACATGACTTAGTAGTCCAATTCACTAACAATTGTATCAATGACATCGATCGTCTAAGAATATAATTAAATACGTTTTCATAAAAAAAATTAACCTATGACTGATAATTTATTCACAACATCCAATCAAATAGAAACTGACTTTTCACCATGTGAATGGTAACTCAAACTATTAAAATTAAATAAGTTTTGCTTACCTCAGAATCTGGAAAAACTTTTAATTTACGTTTCCTGCTGGTCGAAGCTGCTGTGACTGATGATGATTTATCAGCCTCAGATTCCGACTCGCTTCCTACACTAACTAGGGTGACTAAGTGTTACGTACATACTTGCTGTCTTGATGATGATGATGCTGAACACTTCCAGGTCTAGTAGACTGTGGAAAACAAGATGCAACTAATGGTTAAACACCTCCCAACATTATATTTTATACCCTACATTATAGCACTGTCCCCACTTGGAAGTGTTTTAGTTTGACATATTATAAAATGAAGAAATATTTCATTTGGTAACTTTAGCATTGACCCGTATTAATGTTATTTGTAAGGAATATTTTGACTTATTAACATTAAATGCTCATATGTGAAAAACACTTAACATAAATGTTTGCATGCGATGTTAAATCAACGTTGCGTTGTCAGCCGAAAAAACCATTGCCGCCAGCCCGACGCGGTAATAGGATATGACAGTGTTTGACAGGTAAACGTGTGATTTCACAATAATTTGGAAATGGGTCAGCATATAGCGGTCAATGTACTTATTAAATTTAGATCCATTATAAATATATCTTTCTTTAAAATTAATGAAAAAAAAAAACGTACAGTTTTCAATCTTAAACTGAATTTTATACTATTCGTAATATCTCTAGATAGAATATAGTCTGGAATAACACCCAGGCGTTTGTTGTAAAAGCGTATATATTGCCTACCCATAAAGTAATTACTAATTCTATAAAGTCTAAAAACTGATATTGCAAGCTTATGTTTGTTCCTAGTGTTTAAAAATGAACATATTTTTTTCTTATGAAAGCTATTTATGTTTTTATGTACATATATTACATTTTCATAAATATATTTCAATGCTAAGTTAATATGTTTATTTCCTTAAAATTTTTCTCTAAAGGACTCTTTACAATTTAAGTTATAAATCATCCGTATGCCTATCTTTTGCAAACAAATATGACTTCAATGTCAGTCGCATTATCCCATAGTAAGATTCCATAAGACATTACGCTATGAAAGTAACTACATGCTTATCTTATTAATTACGTTTGTACGTGGTAGAACCATGCTGCAGCTATACTATTAGTATAGTTGTAAAACGAATGGGTCGGGTCGACCGGGGAAGGACCACGCTCTCACAGAATACCAGCGTAAAATAGCAGCTTAATGCTGCTGTGTTTCGTATGGTGAGTGTAGAGAACTGGAGAACCATTATACTGGAAAAGAGGCATTCCATCTTATTCCTCACGGGTGACAACTCATCTGCATTTTGATTCGCTACGAAGATAGATGTAGATGTCTATGGGCCACAGCAACCACTTACCATCAGGTAGACTGCGCGCTCGTTTGTCACCCTTATTCTATATAAAAAAATAACATAAACATAAAAGTGTATGTTAGATTTTTATTTTATGTTTGTTACTCAAGTATAATAGATTGCCTGAACCGCTAACCCTCGCTAGTTACACATAGAAAAACGGAAGAAAAAAAGGTCTCCAACCGTATATAAGAATGTTTTCATGTGTTCAGGCACCCTAATTTTTATACTGGATGGGAATCGAACCACAGCCATCAGGCTTTGTAGCTCACTCGTAGTACCAACCACTAGATCATTTGCGATCACCCACCATTGGTTAAATAAATTGATTTAATATAGAAACTTGCAAGCATGTAGGTATTAATTTGGTTAGACTAAAAAAGAAATTTGGACCTATACTTGAGAGAATGGTCTTCAGTGGGCACATAGCTTGAGCGAAGCAAGAGTGAGTGAATGCTTTTACATGGTAGAGCCATGCTGCAGCTATATTAGTAGTATAGTTGTAGCACGAATGGGTCGGCTCGACCGGGGAAGGACCATGCTCTCACAGAATACCAGCGTAAAATAGCAGTTTAACGCTGCTGTGTTTTGTATGATGAGTGTAGAGAACCGGAGACTCGTTTTGCTGGAAAAAGAGGCATTCCATCTTAATCCTCAACGGTGACAACGCATCTGCATTTTGATTTGCAAACGAGGATAGGTGTAGATGTCTATGGGTCACAGCAACCACTTGTCATCAGGTGGACTGTGTGCTCGTTTGTCACCCTATCTTATATAAAAAAATTGCTTTTGAACTAAAGCTGATGATTAAGTTAATCTTCAGTAACTTTTTCAAGTTTTTAAATTATTAACACGATTGAAATAACGTTAGTTCATTAAAACCTATCAGCCAATACGGACAAGTTAAAAAAACTGTTATGAAATTTCCGCAATTAGAATGTATTGTGTAGTATTGTAGTGTCCTGCACCAAAAAATAAGGTTAAACGTCATGGGAGCTTATTGCCAAATACGATACGTAGTATTGTATGCGGTCCATCAAATTGCGGAAAAACTAACTTAGTTATCAGTTTAATGTTACATCAGAATGGACCGCGTTTTCGTAACTTTTATGTATATTTAAAGTTTTTATATCAACCTAAATACTTATTTTTAGAAAAAGTACTGCAGAATGTGGAAGGTATATCTTGTTACAAGTATAATCATAATAGCGAAATTTTGAGTCCACACGAAGCTTCGCCTAACCCAATTATAATATTTGACGATGTAGCTTGTGAAAATCAGAACAACATACGCGATTATTTCGCCATGGGTCGACATAAGAACATTGACTGTTTTTATATTAATCAAACGTATACTAAGATACCTAAGCAACTAGTTAGAGATAACGCTAACCTGATCATATTGTTTAAACAAGATGACGTAAATCTGAGACACATTTATGACGAGCATGTAGGGTCTGACATGACATGGTCTCGGTTCCGGGAAATGTGTTCAACTGTGTGGAGTAAACCTTTCAATTATATTGTTATAAATAAAGAATGTGAACGAAATAAAGGCTGTTACAGAATGAAGTTTGATACATTCATAATTACCTAATTAACATACACAACATAATTACATAAATACATAACATAATTTTAGACTAACGTTTAAATAGCTGCTATGTCATAAAGCAATCAGTTTCTGCTGAGTAGTCAAACCTAGTACAATTCCTTTACAATGGAGCGAGACCTCAAGAAACAAATAGTAAAATCTGCTGCAGCTGTAAAAAGAAAGGAGGAAATGATAAAAGATGCAAAAAATACAAACAGTCGGGCTTTGGAAACAATATTTAAGCCAATCGTTGATCCACTTAATATGCTTACCAGAAAAACTGAAGAAAAGCAGCATTTAAATGAAGATACAGACCAAGCTCACCTTATTAAAAAACCTCAGTACAGCACAAGTGAGTCATCAATTTCTTCAAGTGATGTATTTGAAGATCCTGTTAATAATGAAGAAAACTCAGATAACAATGTTTATACAATATCCCACAAAACCCTTACTCACTCGCTTCCTGCGGATGATAATGACGCGAATGAAATTTCGTTTAAATTACATCAATCAACACCAAGTATTGCAAATGATTCATTATCATGGACTATGTCATCTGAATTACTAAAAGATGTGCCTTATGGTGCCAGAAATGAGCGTGGGAAACTAACGCTCGGCCCATTTCGTGTCTATGATAATGATCACATCTTAAAAATTGGAAATCACAGTTATTTAGATATTGTGACAGAGGAAGACTCACAAAATTATAAATTGTTACTTTTGCATACTAATGCACATAAACGTAATTATGATCCGTCCAAACCGATTAACACTAAGAAAGGATTTAAATATATGCAAGTGATCAAACCATTGTTTAAGCACTCGAGAAATCATAAAAGTAGTGCAGAAAGTCTTCCAAAGGAAGAAGGAGTTGATCTTTTAAAAGAAGTTAAAAAAGATACTGATTGGATTTACTGAAACGATCCAAACGAGTTAGTGGAACGATTAAAATTACTACTTGGATCATGGGCAGCTGGTAACACAGAGGTTTACAATGAAATTTATGCAATAGTGGAAGAATTGCATGAATCTGGCATCATAAAAGACATTAAATATATTAAACTGCCTACAGGAGGATTACGCAGTACCATTTCATTACAGAAGCCTATGAATATAGACGGCTATGAATATAGACAAATTTGGTCATCATGTTCATAAGCGTTTACTACTATCTGAATGCTCTGATATTCTCAGTGACGCTTTAGTAAGAACAGACGCTGGAGATTTTGATTTGAAATCAACAAGATTAAAAGGACTGCAAACTCCTGAAAAAGAGGATGAGGCCGTGAATAAAGAATATGTGGATAAATGTGTTCAAGAACTTAAAAATGAAATGAAAAAAGTTCACGATAATGTCAAAAAGTACCTTAACAATTTAGAAAAATTGACTACTATCAATTTCAGGACAATGTATTACACTAAAAAGGAAATCGACCTCATGATTGCATCAAAACCTGCCCAAAATGAGTAAACAAGATATAGTCAATGAGCTTCACAAAGCAGCAAGAAGAATTTTTTCTCGTTAACATATGATTATTAAAGGAATAGATGATTTATGGCAAGCTGACCTGAATGATTTTCAAAAATATTCCACGTTTAATAAAGGATATAAATATGTTCTAGTAGTAATCGATGCTCTATTAAAATACGTATGGGTTAGACCATTGAAAACGAAACATAAAAATTGTGTCAAAAATGCGATGCAAAGTTTATTATCCGAATCAAGACGAAAACCTAAAAATTTACAAACAGATCTTGGTACAGAGTTTTATAATGATTCTTTTAAAAATTTAATGAAAAATTATAATATAAATCATTATTCCACATACTCCGTTAAAAAGGCCTCCATTGTAGAACGAGTAATAAGAACTTTAATAACTCACATTTACAAAATATTCAGTCTATGCGGACCATATCAATGGTTCAAAAATAATTTAGATTTTGTTGTAAAGCAGTATAATAATACTTTACATCGCATTACAAAATTCAAGCCTATCAACGTTAATTATTCAAATGCGATTTTAGTTATGTCAAACTTCAAGAAGTCACAAAAGCCTAAGATACGTCAAGTAACGGCGTTTCACTCTGGCGATTACGTTCGTATAAGCAAATACAAAGGAGATTTTTACAAAGGTTATACCCCTAATTGGTCTACAGAAATATTTCGTATCGTTAAAGTCAACTAAACCAATCCTCAAACCTATCAAATAGAAGACAAACACAATCAAAATATTCTAGGCTCTTTTTACGGTTACGAATTACAAAAAACTAAATTTCCAGACCTTTATCTTATTGAAAAAGTCATTTAAAGAAAAGGAAATAAGCTTTTAGTAAAATGGTTAGGTTTGAGTGATGAAGAAAATAGTTGGGTGGAATGTGGAAGTGAATTAGTGGTTTAGGTATATAAATAACGTATTATTACTTAATAATGTCAATTTATACTTATCGATGAAGGAAGGCAGTGGTATAATTAATAAAGTAATAGACAATTTACCGTTTGAGTTAAATTTACCCGGCTATCAATTTTGCGGCCCCGGAACTAAACTCAAAAACAGTTACTCAAAGCCGATCGTGAAATAAACAAATTGGTGAAGCGTGCATGCTCCATGATATTGCTTACACTAACAAAGATTCGGGCGCTCAACAAAAAGCGGATTTAGAACTTTTGAAAATGGCTAAGAGGAGGTTGAAATCAGAAGATGCTAGGAAAGGAGAAAAAATTGCCTCATAGATAGTCAAAAATGCGATGAAAGCGAACATCCAGGCGGTCAACGGTATAAAAGCATTTAAGAAGGGGATAAAAAATACAGTCTAAATTGAAAAAACTAAAATCCAAAGACAGTATCGGCTATAAAATATGCCTATGCAGCTGCAAAGAAAATATTTAGTAATAAAAAAGGAATAAGTTTACCCTGTTGTATTCCTCTTCCAAAGTGTGGAGGATTTTTACCACTTATTCCCATATTTGCAGGATTGTCAGCTTTAGGATCATCAGCCGGTGGAGCAGCGGGTATAGCAAAAGCTGTTGATAATTCAAAAGCAGCACAAAAGAGTCTTCAGGAATCTGAAAGACACAACAGAATGATGGAAGCCGTTGCTCTAGGAATAGGATTATATATTAAACCTCATAAACAAGGAGCAGGTTTATATCTTAACCCCTGAAAAAACTAATTAAATGGTTACCCAGACGGGCACTCACTAATCTCGACATATTAGAACATGCAAGTGACGTTCCATACTTTCGCGGCGTTTTCATGAGAAATAATTTACCTTTGAAACCGAGAAAGATAGAATGTGGAATACTGAATTTGGATAGCTACAGAAATCCTGAAACGCATTGGTTAGCCTTTGTAAAGCACAATAAATATGTAGAATATTATGATAGTTTTGGTAATTTAAAGCCCCCGTTAGAATTAGTTAAATATATGCATAACTTACCTATTAACTATAATTATGCACGATATCAAGCGTTTAGTGCTACAAACTGTGGACATCTTTGTCTAAAATTTTTAAGGGATTACTGGAAAAAGCATTTATATAGTGTATGAAATAAATAAACGTATCAGTATGAAAATATCTTTCACTGTGTCTATAACTGGGACAGGAGCCTCTTTATCAACGAACTATTCACCGACAATAGAACTAGGAAGAGACTACGAATATGGTCTAGGAATGTGTGGTATTTTTCAACTGAAAGTTGAAAAATACAAAAGACCACATTCGTTCCAGTTCTTCAGAAGATAAGTTTACTTTATTATACGATCAGTATGCGAGATTTCAACAGTCGTATCATGGACGCCGGTCAGAGCCGTTGATGGGTTTAAAGGAGTTCAGAGACACACGAAACTTTAAAAGGTTCGATCGATGTGAGAGTTGAAATCGAAACAGACCAAGAAATACCAGATCAGGCAACCACTTATTGCTTGATATTAAACGACTATATTCGAATACAAACCACTGAGTAATATCGTTAAGAAAATATCATGAATAGCAATACAATAATCGTCAATCTTCAAGGCTTCAAAAATAGCAAAAATAAATTTATAGTAAAGGAGTTTGCTATAGCTACTCTAGAGTAAACCAATATATTCCTAACTAAACCCATTCACTTCACTATCTCCTGGAGAGAAAAAAACAAATTAGCTGGATTGAAAAGCACAGAGGGTATCGATGGAGTGAGGGCTTTATTGATTGTAGATAGTTTCACAGTATTATAAAGACATATTTGAAAGATAAAAAGATTTTTTTAAAAGGATGTGAAAAAATTAAATGGGTGCAAGATATTTGTGATGAAAATAATACTATCATAGATATAAGTTGCTTAGGAGCTCCCAGTTTAAATACTCTTTGTGAACTTTATTGTAAAGATACTTTACTGTATAACTGTTTTACTCATAAGAAAATATGTGCGTTAAAAAATGTTTTATGGATTAAGAAATGTTGTTTTGTAAACAAAATGACTGTTTGATTTCTAATAAAATATATGTAAATAAACACTTCATCTTTTAATTTAAACTACCTTTGTGTTCGAGAAGAAGAAAAAAAATTTGTTTCAGACCGTTAACGATTAGTACTTATTATTAAAGTAACTGTTTTTTTTGTACCATCTTGCGTTTTTAACGATGAAATAGATTAGCCTTCATATTTTGTTGTTATATTATTGAACCATTTGTATTTGAGATTCCGAATGAAACGGTATTAGAAATGGAGCAAAGGTAAAAAAAGCGGATCGAGAATTAGACTAAAAATTTAGACCTCTAATGGAGAGAATTGGGGCCTTCAGCGGCATGTAGCTCGAGCGAAGCGAGTGCAAGTGACGAAATTCACACGTAGTCGTAATTTGGGTGGTGCTGCAGTTCCTTCAGCGGTGCCAAGTTGACTGTCGGTATATCGAAGTGCTAAAGTGTTTGTACAGTAGGGCTACGATGACTATCTGAGTACGAAACCTATCCAACTGCAGAGAGGTGTAAAACAGGGTGTCGTTATATCCCCGAAACTCTTCA